ATTCAGAGCAGAATGGGAGGAGGGAGATAAAGACAAGAGGGAGATAAAGCAGAAAATCAGGTGGAGATATTTAAGAGATAGAGGGGAAGAATAAAGAAAAGAGGAGATGAGCTGAGGGGTGGTTAAAGAGACATAGGAGATGATACAGAGTGCAGGTAGAGTAGGAGTCAATGAGTGAGTGATCAGGAAAAAACAAGAGAGCGCAGCCATGGTTGCTTACGTCACCTTCAGGATGACATTGGCAGGACACACAGGTCTGCTGCCTCATCAATTCTACCACTGCCCAAGGGGACATCATATCACACACACACACAACACACACACACACGCACACACACTATCTCTCACTCTGTCTCGTTCTCTTGCTCTCACTTCCACATCAGCCCCACCACCCACACACACACTGCCACACACAGTCATACATCCAGCCCCTGGCGATGTGGCTCTACCTGGCCGAACACACCCGCAGCCTCTGATTGGCTGCTCAAAGCCAGCAACACCCCCCCTGCTCCCCAGCCAGTGAGACTCTGCTTGGAAACAGAAAGGCTGTGCTGTTACCAGTACAGATCACTGCCGCAGCACTGATCCGATCCCCGGCCCTGTTTTAAGAGATGTTTGAGAATTTAACAAAAGTACTATCTAATGACAATATATAGTGTATGAGTCAAAAACCAGGTTGCTCAGGTGCAGAAAATATAAAGAATGTGTTAAGTACTTCTGAAGAAATCTGAGGCACTCAAGAGGATAATCAATTTAAAAACCTCTAACATCTCATGGCTATTCAGTCATAGTTTATAATACACATGTCTGTGAGTTTCAGCCAATAAGGCCTTTGTCAGGACAAATCAGTATGGTTGTCTTTGGGGTGGTTCTTCTAGATATCAACAAGTAATCACGAAATCAGTATGTCATGTGCAGTCTTCTAAAATGTTGATTTTAAATATACAGTATATCTTTATATGTATTCTGTTGCTTGATATTTATTATTGTGTTTCCCTGATAGTGTATTTGTCTATGTGTGGTTTCTTCTGTCTAAAAACATGGTCTGTCATATGACTTTACTGGGTCACATTAATCATGTGCTCTTTCACTTGCCCATAAGTTGGTAAGAGAAGAAAATATAGAGAAAGAATCTTTTGTTGCCGTATTTCATATATATGTCCATGCCAAAGGAAGAATGCAGGCAAAAGCAACACCTCTTCAGAGACATGATTGATTATGTGTGTCAGCTTGTTGCAGATGCTGTCATGGCAACTCTGCACCTCATGGACAAGATAATTTTCCTGGTGTGAAAACTTTCTCTTACGGAGCCTGTCTAGGTCAGCCACCACAGCACCAGTGACATCAATCAAAGTCAGGTGCTTTTACAGGAGATGACTCGATTGACCATTATTGAAGCCCACCCTAAATCCAGCTGCTTATAATGTATTCCTCCTGCTAATAACAGACTCAGCCTTTATTCCACATTGTGCCTGGTCCCCCAGTATGTGAGGAAGGTCTGTCTACGGATTGCAGGACAGGGGCAGAACATGTATGGGTATAGCATGACATGTCCAGTTACACACTCTAAACCCTGCCCCTAACCACAACCAGCAGCAGGTGTGCCTAACTTGTAGTTAGAGGTGTGTCTGGCAGTGTGACTTGTAGGGGATTAATTTGTAGCAGTGTGAAGGTTTGGGGGATGCAACTGGGCACATCATGTTGTGTCCCTGTTCCTCCCCTGTCTTGCAGTTTGCAGACAAATACTAATGCAATATGCGTCAATGCAAGTGGCCACTAACATTGCAAAATATTGTTGGACACACCTGGAGTTTAGACTTGCATTTGCCTCTACGTCCTATTTCAGGTAAATAGAGCCTGTATGAATTAAAAGGTGAATTTAGTTACCTTTTCCGTTTCTAGTCTTTCTAAACTAACTTAACTTGGTGGTAGCTTCACATTTACTGTACAGATATGAGAGTGGCATCAATTTTCTCATCTAACTCTTGTCAAGTAAGAGAGTAAGTATTTCCCCAAATGTCAAACTATTCCTTTAAGCAGAAATAAAAGTGCAAATCTAGATGTTAAGCAATTAAGAGAAAACAGCAAACAGACAAGTGTTGAGAGCTGATTTAATGAAGTGCCTCACCTTTTCTTGATACTGCCGTCTGGAGGAGTCCAGTGACTGGATAAGAGCTGTTGCATGGCCAATAAAAACAGCATAGCAAGTCGCTCCTACAATCATACTCAGCATAGTGAGCCAAATATCTGATAGGCTCTCTGGGGCCTGGCGGCCATAACCGATGCACAGCATGTGGCTCATGGCCTTGAATACGGCAAAAGAGTACAGCTCAGACCAGGTATCATTCTGTGGAGAGAGGAAAATGGAGATAAACAGTTACAAATTTTAATGTAACGTAAAAATACAAGTTTTGAGGGAGTGTGGTGGCAGAGAGTAAGGAACCCAAAGAAAACCTCTAGAAGCAGCAGGGTCATGGAAGAGCACTTACACAGATTAAAACTTGAGGGACTGAGCTGCGTTAGAAGGAAAGGGGGAGGTATCCTTTGAGGCCTAATCAGTAAAGCAGAGATGGTTTGGAAATGATTTCCTCAGAAAGGAATAATAATGATAAGTCATTAAATATGCCCTTTCAGGGCTGCATGAATAGAAATCTACCACAGGCGGTGACAGATGGGCAGCGGTCACCAGGCTGCTGGTATGGAAATTCATGAAGGGACAAACCTCACATCATAAAAACATCAAGGGACATTAGTCATGTTAGTAAATCACTCCGAGGCCATCTGATCAACACTCGCTATACTTCCTCAAATGTAAATAATGGCTCCGTGTTATTTTGCTGTAGCTTTGAGCCAAGACTTTCATCCTCACAAAAGAGGCGAGTAACTGAGCACAAAGCTCAACTGATCTGATACTTTTTCCATCAAACTTTCTTTGTTGCTCCTGTTTTTTCATTAAAGCTGAGTGGTCACTGTGGTGACCCCTGTCTCAGCACACTGCTGATACCAGTTAGCTCAAGCTAAAGCCAAAACTAAGGAATGAAACTTAGACTTTTTTTTGAGAGATTAGACACTGAAGCCAATTAACTATATCTTCTCCTACAACCTATAAGCAGTGCATTAGCAGTGTGTAACTGCATTTGCTATTATATTATAACATGCAATACTTGTGCCTGGTGTTTTTGCCCCATTGCAGCCCACACATGAAAACCATGTATCTGCAAAATCACTTTTCATAAGCTAAATAAAATAATTCTGTTTTAAGCATTGTGTCAAAGCATATTTAAATAATTCATCCGGGGGGTTTTAAAGAGTTAATGCAAATTAAGAAGTAGGAATATTTTCTCAACCATTTAAGAAACGCTTGATTTGAAAATCATTAAATGTAGGGAGACATGGTTTTCACTGAAAAAGCAGCAATGTATGGTAACATTGATGACTGAGTAGAGAAATACAGTATTTTATCATGAAGCAATATAGAGCAGATCAAACATAAATTGATTAGTTGATTGACAGATAACTGATTAGCACTTCTGCTAATCAGTTATCTGTGATCGATCAAGCAGAATGCTAAATATTCTCTGATATCAGCATCTCAAATGTGATTGTTTCCTACTTTTTTCTTAATTACAGTGATTGTTGGACAAAACAAATGATTTGTAAACTCCACCTTGGGCTCAACTGTGACAGGAATACATTAACTATTTTTGATGTCATGTAGTCAAATGCAATAGATGGATCAACAATGTAAATAATAAAAGGGGGGGAAAATCACAGGTAACAGAGAGCAGCATGAGCCATGTGTGCAGATGTTTATCATCCATGAGACACATCAGCGATAAGTACTTCTCTTTTATGAACAGTAAAAAATGAAGAAGAAAAATAAATATAGCTCCACCAAGTGGGCTGAGGCTAAAAGGTGTATGTGAAAACAAAAAGAGAAACAGAGGAGTGAAAGAGATTGAATAATAGATGAACGATGAGCACTTTGATTCTGAAATAGCACAGGCAAGCGCGAGGGAGAGAGAGACTCCATATCCTCATACAGTAAGTCTCAACAGCCCTCCCCAGAGATTCCAGTTTGGGAACTATTATTGCTTTGTTGCTAATCACGCCTCCATTAGCCGCACAAAGTCTGTTTGAAGCTGCGGCTTTAAATTTATCTTCAAGTGTCCTAAAATGTCTCTTTGTATATGCTGTAGTGACCTTGCTTTATAGCATATATTTTCACATATAAACTCTAATGTGAACTTCACCTGCCAAACCTGCCAAACAAAATGACCGCATGCAAGTAAATGTACCAGCATTTAGCTCAGGATGTACATGTTGCCATACTAGCTGCTTGTGAGGTTGTAATGATTATTGTCCAGCAGTTATTCTGCTTTTCAGGACTTTTACTTGTAATGAAGTGCTTTTACACTGTTGTATTGCTACTTTTATTTAAGTAAGGGATTGGAGTACTTCTTCCACCACTGATTACACAAAGTGCACTCAAAGACCTCCACAAAATGTCTCATCAGTTCACACCTCTGAGAGTTGAAGGACAGAAGCTCTGTACAGAGACGGGAGGAAGCAGGTAATGAAAGATGGAGTCATCACACTGAGTAAGCTGGACAAATATACATATATCAAAAAAGCCTCTGTTCAGTTTATAGTGGCTTACTTTAGTTTATAGGTGATAGTT